CTGTCCTCTCATCCCCCTGTCCTCTCATCCCCCTGTCCTCTCATCCCCCTGTCCTCTCATCCCTCTGTCCTCTCATCCCTCTGTCCTCTCATCCCCCTGTCCTCTCATCCCCCTGTCCTCTCATCCCCCTGTCCTCTCATCCCCCTGTCCTCTCATCCCCCCGTCCTCTCATCCCCCCGTCCTCTCATCCCTCTGTCCTCTCATCCCCCCGTTCTCTCATCCCTCTGTCCTCTCGTCCCCCTGTCCTTTCATCCCCCTGTCCTCTCATCCCTCTGTCCTCTCATCCCCCTGTCCTCTCATCCCCCCGTCCTCTCATCCCTCTGTCCTCTCATCCCCCTGTCCTCTCATCCCCCTGTCCTCTCATCCCCCTGTCCTCTCATCCCCCTGTCCTCTCATCCCCCTGTCCTCTCATCCCCCTGTCCTCTCATCCCCCTGTCCTCTCATCCCCCTGTCCTCTGATCCCCCCGTCCTCTCATCCCCCCGTCCTCTCATCCCTCTGTCCTCTCATCCCTCTGTCCTCTCGTCCCTCTGTCCTCTCGTCCCTCTGTCCTCTCGTCCCTCTGTGCTCTCGTCCCCCTGTCCTCTCGTCCCCCTGTCCTCTCATCCCCCTGTCCTCTCATCCCCCCGTCCTCTCATCCCCCTGTTCCCTGTCCTCTCACCCCCCCGTCCCCTGTCCTCTCGTCCGTCTGTCCTATCATCCCCCCGTCCTCTCATCCCCCTGTCCTCTCATCCCTCATCCCCCTGTCCTCTCATCCCACTGTCCTCTCATCCCCCTGTCCTCTCATTACCCTGTCCTCTCATCCCCCTGTCCTCTCATCCCCCTGTCCTCTCATCCCTCTGTCCTCTCATCCCTCTGTCCTCTCATCCCCTCGTCCTCTCATCCCTCTGTCCTCTCATCCCTCTGTCCTCTCATCCCTCTGTCCTCTCGTCCCTCTGTCCTCTCGTCCCTCTGTCCTCTCGTCCCCCTGTCCTCTCGTCCCCCTGTCCTCTCATCCCCCTGTCCTCTCATCCCCCCGTCCTCTCATCCCCCTGTTCCCTGTCCTCTCATCCCCCCGTCCCCTGTCCTCTCGTCCGTCTGTCCTATCATCCCCCCGTCCTCTCATCCCCCTGTCCTCTCATCCCCCTGTCCTCTCATCCCCCTGTCCTCTCATCCCCCTGTCCTCTCATCCCCCTGTCCTCTCATTACCCTGTCCTCTCATCCCCCTGTCCTCTCATCCCTCTGTCCTCTCATCCCTCTGTCCTCTCATCCCCCCGTTCTCTCATCCCTCTGTCCTCTCGTCCCCCTGTCCTCTCGTCCCCCTGTCCTTTCATCCCTCTGTCCTCTCATCCCTCTGTCCTCTCATCCCCCTGTCCTCTCATCCCCCTGTCCTCTCATCCCCCTGTCCTCTCATCCCCCTGTCCTCTCATCCCCCCGTCCTCTCATCCCTCTGTCCTCTCATCCCTCTGTCCTCTCATCCCTCTGTCCTCTCACCCCCCCGTCCTCTCACCCCCCCGTTCTCTCATCCCCCCGTCCTCTCACCCCCCTGTCCCCTCATCCCCCTGTCCTCTCATCCCCCTGTCCTCTCATCCACCCGTCTTCTCATCTCCCTGTTCCCTGTCCTCTCGTCCCCCCATCCTCTCATCCCCCCGTCCCCTGTCCTCTCGTCCGCCTGTCCTATCATCCCCCCCTCCTCTCATCCCCCTGTCCTCTCATCCCCCTGTCCTCTCATCCCCCTGTCCTCTCATCCCTCTGTCCTCTCATCCCTCTGTCCTCTTATCCCCCTGTCCTCTCATCCCTCTGTCCTCTCATCCCTCTGTCCTCTCATCCCTCTGTCCTCTCATCCCTCTATCCTCTCATCCCCCCGTTCTCTCATCCCTCTGTCCTCTCGTCCCCCTGTCCCCTCGTCCCCCTGTCCTTTGATCTCCCTGTCCTCTCATCCCTCTGTCCTCTCATCCCCCTGTCCTCTCATCCCTCTGTCCTCTCATCCCCCTGTCCTCTCATCCCCCTGTCCACCCTCCTCTCATCCCTCCGTCCTCTCATCCCCCTGTCCTCTCGTTCCCCCGTCCTCTCGTCCCCCTGTCCTCTCGTCCCCCTGTCCTCTCATCCCCCCGTCCTCTCACCCCTCTGTCCTCTCGTCCCCCCGTCCTCTCACCCCCCTGTCCCCTCATCCCCCTGTCCTCTCATCCCCCTGTCCTCTCATTCTCATCCCCCTGTCCTCTCATCCCCCTGTCCTCTCATTCTCACCCCCCCGTCCTCTCATCCGCCTGTTCCCTGTCCTCTCGTCCCCCCATCCTCTCATCCCCCCGTCCCCTGTCCTCTCGTCCGCCTGTCCTCTCATCCCCCCGTCCTTTCATCCCTCTGTCCTCTCGTCCCCCCATCCTCTCATCCCCTCGTCCTCTCATCCGCCTGTCCTCTCATCCCCCCGTCCTCTCATCCCCCCGCCCCCCTGACCTCTCGTCCCCCTGTCCTCTCGTCCTCTTGTCCTCACATGCCCCTGTCCTTTCATCTTCCCGTCCTCTCAGTTCATATTCTCTCTGTCCCCCTTCTCTCTGTTTCCCTTCTCCTTATCGCCTTTCTCCCTGTCCCTCGTCTTCCTCACCCCCTTCCCCGTATACCTATCCCCTACTACCACCATTGCCTTCCCTGCCCTTCCTCACCCTCCCTCCTATTTCCCCCCATCCTCTGCCTCCCTTTCCCTCACCATCTCCCCATGTGTGGCAACTGTCAGCAAGCTCATCGCCACCACACCTCCTCCCTCAACAGAGGACAATGCACTGATGTGGATGGAGACCGGGGGTTGTCCACCTCCAACCAGGGCCCTCGTTATCAGACCAAATTGGTCTGATTTTCTGATTTTCAGACCTTGATTTTGGGTTTCATCTGATTTTCAAGACGAGGATTTTTACTTCGTCTGATCCGTAAGATTACAAAATTTAGTTCATCTGATTTTTCAGAGCAAGCCTTATACTTAGTCTGAAATTTCAGATAGCGGGTTGCAATTCGTCTGATACCGAATCCCCTCCCCCCCCCGACCCCTCGCTTCTCTAAGCCCTTCGATGCCCTTGCTCCTCTTCCAGGCCTAGTCCAGACCTTCTCCCCCTCCCCCCCAGCCTTAGGTCCCCTCCCCAGGTCCCCTCCCCATGCCCCTTGTGAAGTCTCGCACCAGCCCAGCCCCCCCTTCCTTCTCGCGTCCCTCCACCCAACCTGATCCCTCGCAGCACCTCAATGCCACGTGCATGCCCCTCAACAGCCACACGCCTGTCAGCTAGCGAGCTCTCAGCGCCGCGCCATGGGCGCGTTCATTAACAAAAACAAGTGTGATTATGCTAGACAAGGGTGTTAACTGAATCAGACTACGCAAATCTTGTAGTATGAAAAATCAGACTAAGCTCCAACATTCGTCTGGAAAATCAGACCAGAAAAATATGCCCATCTGATCGTCAGACGGAACGATTTTTTACTTAGGTGTTTTCAGACAAGCCCAAATCCTAGCAAGAGCCCTGCCTCCAACACCACCTGTTGGCTCGTACGCCATATGATGGCACTCAATTTTACCACCGTTGACTCTCACTGCAGGAGAGCTTATGTTGTGCCATTCTTGAAACCAGGACCATTGAGGCAAACATGTTTGGTGGACAAGTGCTCATTCGCATAAATGTGGATTCCAAAATTCAATGTAAAATCCTTTATACATGTATACGCCTGCTGTGACTTGAGCCACTTGACACACACGCGTGCTAATTATGCTGAGTCATGAGCAAAAACATGAAACTACCGTACTTGCTTTAGAAGGTGCAACCTGTTGCTGCCAAAATCATGCAGGTAGGAGGAGTAGTATCTGTAGGCTACATGTACTCAATCGTGTGGTGGTAATGTCTTGTATGCGGTGAAAATTTCCAACAAACACAAAAATGTTCCGGACACCAAATGGATCTGCAGTTCAGTGGAGCAAAACATGGAGAAGTAGAGCAAAGAAAGAGACGAATGGTAATGAGAGCACCACGTTGGGAGCAATAAGGGGCCACTCCTGACCTTGAAAGCTGTTGACATATAGTCCATGCGGCTGGTTGAACGCATGTGTGGGGAGGGGTGTGAGGCATGGGCAACATTAGTGCCATGATAGTGAAACGAGCACAAAAAGATAAATCAGTGGTTGTAGTATGCATCAAAGGTTAGAACCAAGAAGACATGGAACCGGATGGAGTAGGAGCAGCCTGTATTTTGTTGCAAAGGGGATAATTGGGTAGTATCACAATGCATGCTAAGTCGACAAAGACGAACGAAGGGTTTACGAAAGATACCTCATGGTAAATGATAAATCAATGGTTTGCACTTGACTTACGCTGTCGCATGTACCGTTGATTCGCATGACTGATGGCACTCGCACCTATTGGTGGTTGAGGTTGTGCTCGGAGGGGTCCACGACTCGGCTGACATCAAAGGGCGCCAAGGCCTCCTTTGGGGTCAGGCGCGGAGACACCACCATGGCCCTCTACTCGTATGGCACCAACTCCACACCAGTATCCTTCCCCAAAAGCACGTCCAGGAGCTGAGAGAACAAGGTTGGAATGAGAGGGGAAAATAATGCTCTATGATTGACTGAGGTAGAGGGTTTAGAATGACTAGACTGGGGAATTGAAGCATGAGGGCGTAAGATGGGCATTGAAGGGAGTAGGATGGGAGCATGGGACAAGGCTGGGAGAGGGCACACCGGGTCTGAAAGTGAAGATAGAGGGCAAAGCGAAAGATGCACATGTTATGGGTGAAGGCAGCAGTGATATGGACAAGGATAGGCACTATTACCCTCAAAGGCGCTCACCGGCATCGCCGACATCTAAATTGACGCGGCGTGTTGGACAAAATGGTGATTTAGATCCCTCCACGTCGGCGTAAGTGTTTCCAAAACGTTTACCGAGGATGGTTGGTGGCATCACCTGCAACATGATCGCAAGAGGGGAGCGTCAAAATATATTACATAAGACAAGAGTGAGGGTTGGCGAGAATGTGGTTCGGATCTTACATAAAATATGTCGCCCAGCACCGCGCATCGAAGTAAGGCCGCGGACTATGCCACCTTCTCGCACAGGAGTAACCGGCCCAACAACAGATGGGTGTCGCCCTCCACAAGGTAAGTCGACAGGATGTTGCGCCTGCCTCTTTGGGGCCGTCTCCATAATCTCATCGTCGACTCCAAACCCCAGCGATCGTTGCCGGTCCTCCATAATCCGATCAACCCAAGACCAATCCATAGGTCCGAGGGTTCGATCCTTGTTGCCCCGTCGCACCCGAGTTACTTGCCGTACACGAGTGCGATACGATGTGACCAGCCTGTCCATCGAGTTATTCCAATGCAGGACAGCCAGCCCCACTCGTGCCTCAAGACTACCTTTGAACCTGATACGCTTAGCAGCGTATTTGATGATCAGGGAATGGAAAGACTCGTTTATGGAACTGTTGGCTCCGTGAACATAGGGTTTCACCTTGTCTGGCGAACACCGTTTCTTGAACCATGCAAGAACCGCCTTGTGCGTTTCCGATCCAGGCTCATATAGTGCACATTCCCTGCCCCACTTCTCGGTAACACACCTTGGAGGAATACTCCCGTTCCGTCCACACTCGGAGTGGTCACCTGCCCAGTGGTTAGGTGCCGTCCCAATTTCCTTTGCCACATCTTCGGGAGTCATAGTGGTGCCCGCTTTCAACAGCGCCGCACAACGCATCATCACATGGAAGAAATGCGAGGCGAAGCGCTGCGCCACCGTACTCTCCTCATCGCCGGCGTTTATCTCATCTCCGCCACGTTTCCGTTTTCGCCGCCCAGTCCAACGGGGCAAATTCTCTCCGACGTCACTTCCGTGGTTGTCGGTCTCACCCGCTGCACCATCGTTGTTGCAGCCAGTCATCGTCTCTGTCAGGTCAAAACGAGCAGTATGAACAATTTTAGGAAACAAGCGGCGTACTCCAATCTGAATATGGCATGGAAAGTAAGTTTCACAAAGCGTTCATACCAGTAGCTTCATCATCGTTGGCCCACGGAGTCGTCCCGCCGATGAATCGTAAGTTACTGCATGCACCCGCATGTGCGTGCACGATGAGAGAACTAGCCAATGACGATGGTCTCGCACCACGCACAGGATGGATATCGTATTGCCATAACTCCTCCACATCCGCCCACTGCACATCAACTTGGGTTGCGCCCGCATCCGCCTCGTCAACCGCAGCATCTCGAACGATGGGCTGCATCTCTCCAGTAGTATCAGGACGCACCTCGCCATATCCCACTGGGACATCTACCACCGCCCGTTCTCCTCCTAGCCGCCGGACTTTTCGCAACTCAGGAAACTTCCACTTTGCTTCATCAGGGGTCATCTTCACATATGCAATGGTACCCATGGCTTCACACACCGCCTTCACAAGTGATGCTTTGAGTGTCCCCTTCGCCTCTTTCTCCAATCCTTTGGTCCTCAACCACTGCTTTAACTCTTCCACCTTAGCCAACCATAGCTCCTCGACACAGCTAGCCTTGTCCACCTCCACAGCCATCCGCACCTGATCCTGAAGCTCCTTGCAGAAAAGATTGTACAGCGTCCGCTTCACGTGCCACCAATCCACCTGATGATCCAGCTTTCGCTCTGCCGCAGCGCCTCTAAACGTGGTCCCTTGATCCGAGATGATGCCCTTCACATCGAACCCCAACAGCTTCGACTCATCAACCCCTCTGTCGAATGCCACCCGCTCCAATCGCACCGACGATTTATCATCCACCCCTTTACGTGTTGTTACACAGTACAAGATCTTCCGCGACGGTATGTCCATGAACGACACTGTGCACCACTCACCCTATCGGACATGTGACCATCGGCCATCCACCGTCACGTATTCGGCTGGAATGTCACGTTTGCTCATCTCCTCCCGCACCAAAGCCATCGACTTATCCGCCTCCCTAAGTATTGTTTTCCATAACCCATTATCGCCCCCAAGGTATCGATAGAACGTGCTTTTGCGAGGACCTGGAATGCCAAAATTGCGGCTAAACTCCCACATCTGTTGATACCCCATCCCAGCGAGCGCGAATGCTCCCACATATTTTGAGTGTAGCATTGGCATTCGTGCACCAACCCCAACTCTCTTTTTGTCAAGGGTTCGATTGGTGCACGACCAGAATTCCACACCATGGGAACACTTATCGCATCTCCAAAACATGCGAACTGAAGCCCAAGAAAACTTCCACGACCTGAGAGACATAGCACCTCCGCATGTATCTTGATGCGAGCACACTAAGCGACACCCCTTGAAGAACCCGACAACGGTACGTGGTTCGACTAGACATACCCGTTGCTCAGGGACATCATCAACACTTGGTGATGTAGGCCAATGCCTGGGGACTGTCCCGCGCGCGCTCGCGCGTGGATGGCTGCAAACAGGCCTTACGAGGGGTATAGAAAAAGGACACAAATAGTGAGCGTATGGTTGCCGTGAAAGTGTAAAGAGCCTAAGTGGGACTAGATGATTTCATAAGGTTGTAACATGAATTCCAAATTTGTAGTAAATCAACTGCTCACCTGTCCTCTGGCATGCCATTCATCGTGCTCGGTGACGCTGTAGGCAATGACATGCTGCCGTTTGCATGATGTCCACCCCCCGCAGGCAAAGGAGGCACGGAAGGAGTAGAGGGTATGCCTTCGACATCACCACCACCCCCGACGGGCAGAGTAGGCACGGAAGAAGTAGAGAGTATGCCTTCGCCATCACCACCACCCCCGACGGGCAAAGGAGGCGCGGAAGGATGAGATGAAGTTGCTATATGAAGCTGTGTCATGAGCAGCAGCTATATGAAGCTGTGACATGAGCAGCAGCTATATGCAGCTGTGACATGAGCAGCAGCTATATGAAGCTGTGACATGAGCAGCAGCTATATGAAGCTGTGACATGAGCAGCAGCTATATGAAGCTGTGACATGAGCAGCAGCTATATGGAGCTGTGACATGAGCAGCAGCTATATGAAGCTGTGACATGAGCAGCAGCTATATGAAGCTGTGACATGAGCAGCAGCTATATGAAGCTGTGACATGAGCAGCAGCTATATGAAGCTGTGACATGAGCAGCAGCTATATGAAGCTGTGACATGAGCAGCAGCTATATGAAGCTGTGACATGAGCAGCAGCTATATGAAGCTGTGACATGAGCAGCAGCTATATGAAGCTGTGACATGAGCAGCAGCTATGCGAAGCCGTGACAGGAAGGATTAGAAAGCATTGTTGAAATACTTTGACAGGAAACAACAGTGACCTTATGCTTCGACCAGCAGTGTCGGCTCATGTTGTGACGCCGCCAATAGACCTTGCATGCTTTGACATGAGCAGTAGTTATATGATGCCGTGACACGAGCAAGAGTGCGCACATGCTCAAACAAAAAAAGCAGCGATGAGATGGTGTGACATAAACAGCATAGACCTTATGCGTCACGTTGCAACGCCAGCAGTAGACACTACATGCCTTGACACGCGCCAACGTTGACACGCGCCAACGTTGACACGCGCCAACGTGATATGATGCTGTGACACGAGGAGGAGTGAGCACTTGTGGTGACAAGAGTAAGCAGTGATATGATGCTAGGGCCAGCGCCAACTGATCTTATGTTGTGAGATAGCAGATTTGTTGCCTAATTTCATTGATGCCAGCAGCAGACACTACATACTGTGACATGAGTAGAGTGATGTGAAGCTGCGACATGAGAAAGAGTGAGCACATGCTGTGACATCACAGAGCAGTGGTATGGTGCTATGAACTGCAGAGCTGTGACCCTATGCTGTGACATGGCAGCAATGCCGGTTCATGTTGTAACGCCCCTAGCACACACTACATGCTTTGACATGAGCAGCAGCAACCCTGCCATGCTGTGACATTTGCAGAAGTGACACTGCACGCTATGATGCGTGTAGTTGGCGGACATATGCTGTGAGTTGAGCATCTAGAGCTGAGACATTATGCTGTGACATGGTAGAAGTGTTGCCCCATGCTGTGACGCCAGCAGCAGACTCTACATCATGTGACACCAGCAGCAGTTATATGAAGCTGTGACATGAGCAGGAGTGAGCACATGCTCAAGGATTAGAAAGCATTGATGAGATACCGTAACAGGTTACAACAGTGACCTTATGCTTTGACATGGCAGCAGTGTCGGCTCATGTTGTGACGCCAGCAGTAGACATTGCATGCTTTGACATAGGGCAGCAGATATATGATGCCGTGACATGAGAAGGAGTGGCAAAAAAAGCAGTGATGAGATGCTGTGACATAAACAGCAGTGACCTTGCGCTCTAAACGCCAGCAGTAGACACTACATGCCTTGCCATGAGCCGCAGGGGTATGATGTTGTGACATGTGCACGAGTGAGCACATGCTCAGGCATAAAGAGCAATGATGATGATTTGAACGTGACATAAACTGGTCCTAGACCTTATGCTCTGACATGGCAGCAGTGTCAACTCATGTTGTGACGCCAGTAGTACACACTACATGCTTGACATGAGCAGCAGGGACATGATGCTGTGACATGGGCAGGAGCGAGCATATGCGCAGTCATAGAAAGCAGGGACGAAATGCGGTGACAGAAAGTGGAAATAGACATTATATTGTGAATTGTAAGTAGTAGCACCTCTTGTTGTGACGCCAGCACTAGACAGTTTGCTTTGACATGCGCCCCTGGGATATGCTGTTGTGTGATGGGCTGGAGCGAGCACATGCGCTGGCATAAAAAGTTGTGATGGGATACTATGACATCAATATTAGTGCCATTATGCTGTGGCTTGGCAGCAGTAGCGCCTCATGTGGTGACTCCAACCCTATACACTACATGCTTTGACATGAGCAGGAGTGAGCACATGGACAGGCATAAAAAGCATTGATGAGATGCTGTGACATAAACAGGAAATAGACCTTATGCTGTGACTTGGCAGCAGTGCTGCATCATGTTGTGACGCCAACAGTAGACACCACATGCTTTGACATGAGCAGCAGGGATAGGATGCTGTGACATGAGGAGGAGTGAGCACCCTTGTTGTCTAAGACATCAGTAACCAGAGGATGTGACATAAAACGTCAAATTAACATAATGCTGTGACTTGGCAGCAGTGTCAGCTCATGTTGGGATGCCAGCAGCAGAGGCTACATGCTTTGACACGAGCCGCAGTGTGCAGTTGCCGTGACATTATCAGCAGTGACACCGCACTCTATGATGTGGGCAGCAGTAACCATATGATGTGCCATGAGCAGCAGTGACACCGCACCTTGTGACGTGGGCAGCAGTGACCATACGATGTGAGCACATGCAGCGGTGACACCGCACGCTATGACGTGGGCAGCAGTGACCATGTGATGTGAGCACATGCAGCAGTGACACCGCACGTTATTACGTGAGGAGCAGTGACCATATGATGTGACATAAGCTCCAGTGACACCGCACGCTATGACGTGTGCAGCAGTACTTATATGATGTGGCATAAGCAGCAGTGACACCGCACGCTATGACGTGGGCAATAGTAACCATATGACGGGACCTAAGCAGCGGTGACACCGCACGCTATGACGTGAGCAGAAGTGAGGTCTCTCATAAGCAGCAGTGACACCGCTCGCTATGACGTGCCTCGCAGTGACCTTATGCTGTGACACAAGCATATGTGACGCCGCATGCTGTGACTGGGACAGCAGTGATGCCGCATGCTGTGACTTGGACAGCAGTGACGCCGCATGCTGTGACTTGGGCAGCAGTGACGCCGCATGCTGTGACTAGGACAGCAGTGACGCCGCATGCTGTGACTTGGGCAGCAGTGACGCCGCATGCTATGACCATGCTGTGACTTGGACAGCAGTGACGCCGCATGCTGTGACTTGGGCAGCAGTGACGCC